GTTACATAGCAACAACGCTAACACAAACAAATAAATTACATTTTTTAACATAAATATATATTGCGATATATATTGTACGATTTGAGTTTCGTTTAGTAAGCAAAATTAATAATTCTCTATGAAATTACATTTTTCAACATAAATATATATTGCGATATATATTGTACGATTAGAGTTTCGTTTAGTAAGCAAAATTAATAATTATCCGTAAAATTTATGTTTTTCATTAAAATTGTGAATCAATAGCCACCGTCTAAATGTGTGAATTATAAAATTTATGAGAAAACAAAGAAGATATGTTTTCGCATAAAATTGTGTCACTCTCTTTTTTGTTTGTTTAATGGATATAAGATAACTAAAGTGAATTCCAATCTCAAAATTATATAAAAACATATTTTCCTCAAAGTGAATAAGCCCAACATTGTCGGGACGTTACATATGTTTTCTAGTTATTATAGATTACAACATAAGACTTTGGCATCAGAGAAGTAGTAATCAAACGAAAAATTAAATCTCTTTTAAGTTTGATAAACTAAGTAGGTCAGTTCCTCTTTAAGAACTTACGAGCCCAAATATGCTTCCTGTGGATATGAAATTTTGATAAATTAGTACCATTGAGTACGCGATCCACGGTGGTGACTGAATCCAAAACCAATCTCGCAAATAGTTTTTGTTGACCATTGCTATTTACGTTTGTGTAGAGGACGTTTTCATTGCCCTCCCGCATGTAAATGCATTCAACGCAATTTTCTCCAAAGTGATCGGTGAAGAGTTCCTTTACCTCGGCTTTCGACACGGGAAATCCACGAGAAAACGTTATAAACATGGTTCGGTCCTCTTCGGTAGCAATGCAATTAGCGTTCCATCCCCATATCCCACTTGGAATGAGGAATAAGTTGTTGTTAGGGAAATAATCACCATCAACAACATCAGGCAACACATTGATGCTTCCAAAAGTCGGATGTGGGAAGCCAGGGATGATGAGAGGTCGCCGATATCGAGTAACAAAGGAGTATGATGAAGAACACGGAAGAACTTTTTGAAGGATATCAGAGAAAATTCTAGAGCAAATTATGGTTAAAAAATTCTTTATTCCTGTTATGGCAGTATATCGATGTTTGTAGATTATGGGAAGGGATATATAGTTTTTCATGAGGTCTGTGGTGAGAGGGATCTGGTTGAAATCTTTCGGCGGGTCCTTGGAATCTAGGCACTGGAAACACGAGATAGCCTCGTTTGCAAGAGCCAAAATGAGTGGATCGGTGAGTGCAACGATGGTTGATAAGATGTTTTCATAGCCAAAGTCTTCAAGCCAAAGCCATGTGGCCATGACCAGAAGTGATTCAGCTGGTGGTCTTGAAAAAACTAAAACCAGTTTAGATAATATTTGTCTCTCCTGTGCATGAAATGTGTGTAGTTTCTCTACGGTGGAGGGTGACATGATGAGTTTCAGATCTGAGGAGACTATCAGAAAGAAAGAAAAAAATTGACTACAAAAATTTGGAAAATGTGAAAATGATTGATATCTTGTTGGAATATACCGCTTTCGTCATCTAATCAGTTTGTTTTTATAAGCATATGAATCTCATAATTTTTAAAAAAATTTAGTTAAGATAATTAATGTAAAAGTTTAATTATCTTATCTAACATTAAATTTGATGTTTTATTGTAGTTTTGATTTATTTATTTTTAGTTTGTTATGTTATATTTACATGTGTTGTGGATGATTTCATATAAATTTCATTCACACTGATTAGATTTTTTAGACTTTAGTTGACTATTGGCATTAATTTCTAATGACTTACTA